TTTGTTGATTATACAAAATTTTAATACCATTAAATATATATTAGTAAATAGAGTTTCTTTGATGAAAATGTTATAAGTATTAGATTAATATAAAAATTAACATGCATGATCTATACATATGAATAGAACCTTCAATTGAAATATAGATTTGTGAAAATATTAGTTAAAATGTGAGTTTTTAAATAGGTTTTTTAAGAAAAAAAATTTAGGAGGATGACTTGCATTATATTAACCTCTTAAAGTAAATATTAAATACATTTTATATAATTTTGAGATGCTAAAAGATAAAAAAAATGTATAACTACAATTATAGATATATACAACTAATTCACATAAACAAAACTTGGTCCCTCAAGAGCTCTTGTATAAGAACATACTTTCACATTGAACTGGGGTATTTAGCGAAATTTCTTTAGGTGATGCCCCAAAACTTAAAACTTTGAGCCTATTCTAGAATACAATACATATTATCAGTAGATTTAATTTTGATTTTAAAAAAAATGATCTTACATTATTTAATTAGTGTAAATAAACATACTAATACCTTGTATTTCGATGTTCTTTTCTTTGTGGTCTTGATCGTCGGTAATGGGAATTCGAACTTCACCAGACGAAGTCGTAGGTAATTTTACCTTTAACCCTTCAATACATATATATACAGTAAATAGATTAGTTAAATCAATATATACAGCCGAAAATAAAAATAAAATTTAAAGATTAAAATATGAAATTAAAGGGAATTCATACTCACAGTGATAAGTCCATATTTGCCAAAATCGAAGCCTACGTCCACTAAAAAATGCTGAAGGTTGATATGACAATTTGAGAATAGGGGAAATTCCCCGCATTTTGCAGTTTTTAGTAACGGCCAGCTTTGGGTTGCGCTGAAGTAGATGTAAACAAATATCTGGTTTATGAGTGACAAGGAGCAAAGTTACAATCAACCACTCCACTCCGGTAGAAATATATTTAGGGGCTGTTTGGTATATTAATTTGGGATTAGCAGTGAGTGATTCTGTCGAAATCACTATATAAAAGTATTTAATAATTTTTTTTCCTTACAAACTGCTACATTTTTACTACATTTTTACTACATTTTTAATATTTAGTAAAATTTTTTATTTAACTATTTGATAGCAATGGTTAACCGTTTAAGTTGTAATCAATGCATGCTCAATGACTTTGCGTACCAGTGGGTTTGACAAATGAGAAGGTTTTGTGGATCTAAACAGTGATTTATGAAGAAACTGCAAAAGTGGACAGAAGCTCGACACGGGTATAGTGTCGATACGTTCTTTTGGTGTCGACACCATATGGTCAGTATCTAAAACTCCGACACGGACGTGGTGTTGACACATATTTTGGGTGTCAACACTATATGGCAGGCGTCCAAAACATTTAATTTGATACCTGTCAAGTATGATGTATGGGTTTAGGGTACCCCTTATACTCCGGTTATTAATAAATATTAATTTTTACTGTTAAAAAAAAACTGTTTAAGTTCAATCCATTAGTAAATTAAAAAAATCTCGAAAGTAGCACTTTATTTTAAACTGTTGAGAATTTTAAATTATTATGACAAATTTAACCATGAAATAATTAGATATAAAATACAAATTTAAGTGCACAATCTTCTTTACTTCTTTTTACAGTCAATAAAACTTAAGGACATCAAAGAGTTAAGTTTTTTTCTTCTATACTTTGTTATCATGACTCGTTAAATTGATAGGTATTCAACCATGTTTTTGCAAAATTTACTTTAGCTGATCCATTGCATGCGATTACTGCTTTCCATGGAGTTAGGCTTGTGATGATATTAATATGTTGGTTGTGTCCTTGTATAGAATGTCCAATTTATCGATATATATTTGATTAAATACTTAATTAATTTGTTCATATATTAAATTTATAGAAAAGTTTAATAAATAAA